GTGCAGGTGTGAGTCCCCGCGCGGCCGCCTAGGACCGGCAGGGCGGCGAGGCCAGAGCGGCGGGGCCCCGGGAGCCCGGACTCGCGTGGTGCTCCGGCCTCCGTTTCCCTTCTCAGGGAAGTGAGGGGTCACCCAGGACTCTGGCGTGGACTACAGTGGGGCTGAGGCTTCTGGGCCTCTGGGGAGGGGTATTTATTGATTGGAGCGTTTTCAGGAGCTTTCTCCTCGCTTTTCTTCCTGTAATTATTTAATCCTCGTGTGTGCCCTGTGTTTAGGGATAATAAAGACTTTTATTTATTTTCTTCGGTGCCTCCTCCCTCTTTTGAGAACTGAGTGGGCTGCCCGATTGCAAACTGGGGCTCCTGGCTCAATCCAGGGTGCTAGGTGTTTGAACCTGAACACCCTCACCTCCATTCCCTCTTTTGGAAATAGGGATGTTAATCCTAAGGGTCAAGGTTATTGTGAGGTTAAATTACTCACTCATAAATAAGAGGGGAGCTTCAGAAAGTTTGGGGAAAATGGAATTAAACTATGAGTTTATTTTGGTGCAAAAAATTTTTAAAAATCCACAAGTAGGGACCAGTAGTTAGCATAATGCCTATGCTGCTGGACTCTCATGTAGTCAACTGTGGTTCAAGTCCCAGACCCAGTGGCTTAAAATCATACCAGGCGCGTGTGCATCTGTGCCCAAGATCCCGAGAGGAGAATGGAGAAGGGATTGCAGCATGGCCATCCCCCCTGGGGGGTGATTTCTCACTTTCTCTCTCTCTCTCTCTCTCTCTGTCTTTCTGGCGAGCACACACGCCCAATAGCAAAAACCTCTCAAAAAAAAAAAAAAAAAGAAATCCATAAATAGTTTTTCATTATCTGTGTCATTTTCCATGAACTTTCCGAAGACCCTCTGGTACTTCCAGAGGACCTGTCCTGGCTAGTCACTGTCCGGCTCAGTGGTCGCTCTCGGAGCATCCTCAGAGAAAGCGGACTCCTCCCTTCTCTCCTTGCCCCCACCCCCCCAGCCTCTCTCAACTGGCTTCGTAGCTCACAGAAGCGGGAAGTCAGAGGGTACAGGAAGAAAATGTTCGGAGTCCCTGTCAGCACAGTTTACCCCTCGCTTTCATCTGTGCCCACGCCTGCCAGCTTTGTCCCATTGCAGAGGGTGAAGCACTGTGCTCTCAGACAGCAACGACCCCTCCTACTTGGGCTCTGGACCCCACGCCGTCATTTCCCGAAGGTCTCACTCCGGTAGCTTCCACCTGACCCTCCCTGCTACGTCTGCTCTCCCGACACAGCAGCGTCCAGGCATGCAGTCAGTCTCACGGTTAAGATCCCCTCTCTTGACCTCAGTGTCTTCTTGAGCTGCGGCCCCATTTCCCTTTCTGTTATAGTAAAACTCCTGGAGAAAGCGGTCTGCATGTGTCTCCAATCGCTCTCCCACCAAGTTCACCTATTCCAAGTCCGGGTTCATGCCTGGAGACCTCCCGAACATCCTTGACACATGGGGACCTGTAATCCTGGGCTGGCTGAAGCTGGGGGCGGGTTGTACCGCTCAATGGTTTTTAGTAAGTTTAAGTACAGCCGTCACCACAATCTTAGAACATTGTTTTTTTGGGGAGAGGTTTTTGCTATTGGGTGTGTGCGCTCGCCAGAAAGAGAGGCAGAGACAGAACGCAAGAAATCACCCCCAGGGGGGATGGCCACGCTGCAATCCCTTCTCCATTCTCCCAGGATCTTGGGTACGCACACACACGCACCTGGTGTGGGTTTAAGCCACTAGGTCCGGGACTCAAACCGCAGTTGACTACATGGGAGTCCAGCGACATAGCCATTACGCCAACTGCTGGTTCCAATGTTACAACATTTTCATGTTAGGACATTTTACCCCTCTAAAAGGAATCCTGCACTTGGCAGTCACTCCTCTCTTCATCTGTGTCCCCCTCCCCCACCTGAAGACCATTCTGGACATTTGAAGTAAATGGAATCTCACTATGTTCTGCCTTCTTCCATGCAGCACGATGTGTTCGAGGCTCATCCTCGCATCATCCTCGCATCACCCTCGCATCACCGTTACTAAGTACTAACCCTCCTTCTCACTGGCAATTAGTATAGTAGGAATAAGTCACTTTTATTTTCTTTGTTATGCCTGATCGCTGGAGAGAGACAGCGAGGGAAGGAAAGTGAGAAATCACTCCCCGGCGGATGGCGGATGGCCATGCTGCAATCCTTCCTTCGCCTCTCCGGAGTTCGGGCCAGCACAGACAAGTGCAGCTTAAGTACTTTGCCGGGGCTGGGACTTGAACTGCTCAGGCAGCCAAGTGAGGTCCAGCCAGCTTACACACCATGCCACTGGCAGGCTGTCACACCCAGTACCCGCGCCTGGACATTTGGAT